GCTATATCGTAATTTTTTTTCTGAGATCCATAGCACACTGAAGGCAATTATCTCTTGCTTACAAATGATAATTTAGCATGCCACGCATTTACGAAAGACTTTTTCATCAGTGTATACTGAATATTGTAACATTTTGGAGTGTTTGTTAAGATTAGAGATAGGCATCATCTTGGGACAAAGTGGAATCATCATTCTTGATTATTAGCCGCGATTGCTTTTGAAGCTCGATTAATGAAAGGTGCACTCAGGGAAGCAAAAATCAAGATTTTTAACTGGAGCTATCTTAGCTCTCTCAAAAAAGACAGCCGTCTGCACTGCACTTTACAAATTGCCAGCTATACAAGGGAGTCTTTTTCTAGCATCTTGAATTTCAGCGTCCTCAGCGCTAATGAAGATACTAGTTATTTTCGAAGTGGCTGAGTTTCTAAAGGACTAATAAGTAAGTGTAAAGTGGGTTTTAGAAGGCAGAGTATTGCAAAACGTAGGCGATCTGGAAGTTATCTATCTAAACTATGCACGTGCCACTCAGTAATTCAAGTGCAAGTAGAACTCTGAATATGAGGAATATGAATCCTGCCCTCTGCTTTTTCGTTATGGATAGTGCAGATGTTTTCTGAGCACAGAAATGTGGACGTAAGGGATTTCCCAGACCTATTTGCTCCTCTTGAAAATACATTTATGCGGGCACAGGAAGAGTGTTTGTATTGAATCTACACTCTAAGTGAAACATGAGTCATGAAAATATATTCTATTGATTAATTCTAATTCCTACACTTACTCGCCCGCTTGTACGAAAATTTAGGAATATCTCAAATAAACAATTTCTTTCTCATTCTCTTTCTATACCTTCACAGATGAAAATGCGATGTACTAGTTCACATTGATGCTTCGATAAAATGAGTGATCTGAGGAATTCTTGAGAGCGATTAACTCCTTTTTCCATGGCATTTATTAGTGGTAATTGTCGTGATCCGTAAACCTTCCCGTTAGTGCGGTTACAAGCAAATGTGTAAGAAATGATCATAACTTGAGATGTTACACTTCCAAAAATAAGCGTTGCTAACCTTCCCATTTG